AAAAAAAAATCTTTTGTTTTGTTTGTTGTTTTTTTTTTTAAAATAAAGGGATTATGAAAATTTAAGATGTTTTTAATAAAAATTTTAAATATTCTTCATGAATTAACATGTAAATAAATTTTATTAAAAATATTTAAATAATTTTACAAATAATTTTAATATTTTAAATATCAAAACACCTTAATTTTTATTTCTTTTCTTTTAAAAAACCTATTATTATTAACTCCAGAAGGAACCAAATATGATAAAAAGATAGCCGACATGAAACTTAATAGTTTTTCAAGTAAAAATCCCTTTTGTGGATATGCTCGAAGCACTTTTAAGTGATCCAAACAACGTGGGTGTGACTCCTCAATAAATCCCTCTGTATTCCAATTGACAATACCTACTTTCTTTTAAAATATAGAAGGTGGGGGGGAGGTTGGGTGGAGTTAGCTTTAAGTCATGTGAAGTGATTCTAAATCAATAAATTAATTAACCCATACAATTAAACAAATCATATATGAGCTAAGAGCTAGCTAGAGTAATGTCTAGAATGTTAATTTGCAATCGCATCAAAGATTTCAAGTTTAATAAAATAAATGAAAAGTACTGTGAAATGAAGTTTTGGTCAATCAATGAGACAAAACTGTGCTTGGGTTGCCAATAAAGTGGAACACGTAGATGGCTATTTGTTCACAAACACACCATATAACATCTAACCCAGAGACAAATTTGGGTTTGTGGGGGAAAACTATTTCCACATTGACCTGACAATTTTTGTTGTGAAACCCCCTTTTCAATTCTGGGGCACCCACTTCTTCCCCATGTTTGACAAAAATCTTATACTACACAAGGTTGCTTTCATAGCCAGCCATTGTCATTTTGATTAAATGCTCATATAATGTTTAGTGACTTCATCTACATATGCCACAGTTTTTGCAGTCAAGTTTGTCCTTCTAATGACAGGCGAAAGTGCTTGAAAGTCCAGACTGATTTAATTCAATCGTTCTCTTGACAAAATAACACAAGAAACACGCTTAATTTCGGTAAATGTCCAATGGGATGAAAGCAAGATTTTCAAGATCATTTTGTTTGGATTAAGGCTTCGGAATAGTACATATATTTGCCTTCAGTGAATATTGGTGCCTCAATCACCAATAATATTCCTTAGCACCTACATAATAGTTTGACTGAACAATGGGAATCATGGAATTTATCTAAATGTAATAAAGTATATGATGCTAGAATTTCATTTGATTAAAGTAAAAGCATGTGCAACTTGGTATCTTGGAGAAGGGTCCAAGAAATAATTAATATTTGTTGATCCACAATGATGTGCTTACTTTAACAAAACACCTTCAGATAACCAACCTTTGGATTCTCGGAGGAATTTTGTCTCTTGCAAAAATACTAGTAGGTGCAAGACCATTAAGTCATCTCTTAAACTACAAGTTGTTTTCCTATTCAACTTAGGACAAGACTAGTTTTGATTAATTTAAAGAATTGCATTTCAAGTAATTATGTACACATTAAGTCATTTCCTCCCAATTGGGTCTGTTTCAGGTTTTTAGCTTAAACTAGCCCCAACCCAAGACAGATAACCTATGCACCAAGGTGTTGTCTAGTCTATTAGCAAACCCATTTTTGCAAGTTAATTTAGATTTATTAACATTGTCTTCTCTAAGTGCTTAAACCAATCCCTTGGGCATTGGAGGCCACCGTAAGGTGTGACTAAGGTGGTCTTTGGTAAGAAAATGATAAGTAAAATTTATGAAAACTTAATTACTTCAGCTAGTAAGTTGCTCTCAATTTTTATTTTTATGCAATTTATTGAACTTTTTTTTTTTTGTTATTTATTGTGATGGTGTATTTGGATCTATTTTTACACATTTCAAGACTAATTTTGTTTCTAAATGATTTAAGAATGCTTCTTCACATTTGTTTATTACATTTAAAAAAATTAATTTCTTTAAATGCTAATCTTAAAAATTTAAATCCTAAATTTTGTATACAAGAAGACATTTGTTTACTTGTATATCTATTCCTTGATTTTAATGACTAAACTTCTTTACCTCTTTCGTGAAGGTCTGATTTCAAATAACCGAAAGACTTAACTTTGTTATCTAATTCTTCGAATTCATTTACTTAATCAAGTAATTTCACATCATTTCGTATACAGAAATTGCATGTGAGGACTCGAAGTCAAATGAGTTGTTAGCTTGTTATCATCTGAACCCCTGAATCACGAACACCAATTGGAATGTTCAAAGCAAGTACGTGGAAACTGCTGTCTTAGGATGGTGGGTCCTAAACTGCTTCATATCTTTGACATTTTCTTTATTTATACATCTACTAATTCATTTTTTTAAGGAATTGTATTCTCTCTCTCTCTCTCTTTCTTTTAAATGTCTTTAAATTAATTTTTGTATATTTCAAAATTAATTTCATCTCAAACAATCTAAGGCTATATCACTAACGTAAACTTGTTATATTCAAAGAAATTGATTTTCTTAAATATTAACCTAAAAAATTAAACCGTGTATCTAACTTACAACAATTACTAAGCAATTACTTATCAATAAATACCTTTCACATGATTGAGGCGGTGGTTGGATATTTAGTCACTAACCATTACGTTTTGAGCCCTTAATTCAAGGAAGAATTTAGTTGCCTTCCCTTCAAATCCAGTCAAGCCATATATAAACTTGCAAAAGTATACATGTCAGCTACGTATTTACATCTATATTTTTCTTTATTGTTTTCATCTCATAACGATGCCAAAATAACTAGGCAAAATTGGCATATCCAACACAAAATCCGAAGATCAACAAAAAGGCACAAGAACTTGAACATAAATAATTCCTGTTTTCTTTCCCAATCAATCTCGCATGTACAATTTAACCTGCATACAATCATACAGCAATCTTCTTATGAAATACTGAGATTTAACAGAAAACTTCCAGGGTTACATTTTACCTAGGACTGGGTCAAAGAGTTTTCTGGGGACCATAGCTACATGCGTTGAGGCTGCTGCTATTTGGTGTGGTGGATGAAAGAGCTGCATTTTACCATGAACGCTTTGGAATTTCGATTCCCATAATGGACCACACTGTAATGCGCCATAATTAAACATCATTTGCAGTAACCCATAGAGGGAAAAGAATAGAAGGAATTATACAAGCCTTTAGCAGGCAGCAAACTGCTAGCCCAGACACATCAAACCCTAGGAGACGCAATAAACCTTTTGAACAAAACAAAATCATCTAAGTACCATTTCAACAGTTCAACCAAGCTTTTTATCTGATCCCTTGAGGTTCAAATTAAACCATCTCTTTTTGGCTGATTTATCCTTTCCATCTGAGCCTCCATCTTCCCCTGGACTCTCAGCCTTAAAATCTTCACCAGGGACTTTGCTAGTACTTCCATTAGTTGAATTACTGTTAACAGCAATCAATGCCCTGGCTACAGTGAATGCAGCGTGAATGCTGTCGCGCTGTTTCAGCAACTCATCTACCTGTGTCGTGTTATAACAAAAAAAAAAAGATAAGTAATAAAAATGAAGATATACTATTCATTGCATGGTAATGTTATTGGAGAAACACTGAAAACAATGCACATGCAGCACAAGTTTGCATGATGTGGAAATACATATTCATATGCATCATGAATGCATTTCCCAAGTCAGATGCAGGAACGATTGCATATCATGACAAACATCCCTAAAAAGAGAACCAAGATGTTGGAACATACAGATTGCTTTTCCTGGCTGTATCGGTTGGTCACTTCTTGAAAGCGTGCCAATGCCTAGAAAGCATCAAAACCAGAATTATAAGAAAGATGTGTATAAACCCTCATAAAAAGCCTGAACTAAAAGAGTTCGAAAATGGAAATACCTTTCTGTATTCTGTCTCAAATTGACGCAATTCATTTCTCTTTCTTAAAATTTGTGCCTCAATATCCTTAAGCTTCTCACTGGTATCCTCGTATGACTTTGCACAAAGTGCCTCAATTGTATAAGAAGCAGTCTTGAAGAAATTATCTCCTGATCATGGATCAGTCACATCAGTTATGGAAATTATACAAACAGTTTCTAAATCACAACAAACTAAATTAACAGGAAACTGTTCAGACCATAAACAGCAAATATGTGAGTGCCAGCTTTTAATTCTGAAACCTCACAAGGTTGAAGACCTTCCAGCCTTTTAAAGAAAGCAGATTCAGGGTCTTTAGCTATTGCTAACTGCCAAAAGAAAAAATGAATTTTTGAGCCAAAGGAAACAAAAGAAGCAAGAAAGATACAGCAATAGAATAACCACACTCACGTACCGCATTTACAGTGGAGTCCATTCTGTACACCTGAAAATGTAAGAAATACATGCCTGCAGAAGTCACCTTGCCAGTCTTTTCACTATCTTCCTGTAAGCAGATAATGAGAGACCATGGTTATGGCATATAAGGCTATAGGCTGATTCAAATAATTTCTTTTTGGTCAACTAGAAATGTGGATTAAAATGGAATGATAGCAACAATGCAAAACATTGCTAATATCTCATATCCATAAAGCGCAAGAAAGAGCAATGGAGATGCACTAGTTCTATATCCCCAAATCAATAGAGTACATTTCAGAAAGGAAAAGAAAAAGGTAAATTTGCTACCAAAACATAGTAGTTTGTTATAAATGCTTTCTTTACCATTCACCAGGCCTCAACTAGGGTTCTCACTGAGACAATCAACAACAACAGTGTGACGCAGAAACCCAGAACACTTGTTTAATTTTGTTCACTATAATATCTTATATATATTACCATAAAGATATGACAAATAGGGAGGTCTAAGGAAAATTTCAAGACTTCAGGATGCAAAGGTTAAGTAAACTAAAGAAACTGAAGAGGAAAACCATTAAAGAAATTGCATCTTACCTGTAAGGCCAAACCATAGCCACCATTGGCATCTTGCTCAAAGTAAAGTAACTGACAATTTACAGAATTAAAGGTGAGTTTGCTTTTCTTACAAGATTAAAATAATATCAATTACAGAGTAAGATGAAGAGAGAGTGTAATTACAGAAAATCCACAAAACCCTCTGAATAAAGGTTCCATATGCAGTACCTTAAATTTGCTTTGCGCAGTTGATGTAACTCTCACAACAATCCCTGCCTCAGCTTGTTGTTCGTTGATTGTTATGCCAAAGAAATGGGCACATTGCTTGTCTACCTGTGGCACAACACAGCATAAGCTGGGAAAATAGCTGAACATAGTGAGGGTATATCAACTAAAAGACCAATTAAGCACCTTTCCACTAACTGATGTTCCAATTGGAAGGGGTCTAACAGTGACAGTTCCATTCAGAGCTTCTTCAAGAACATTAGCTGAAATTGTAGTTTTGATTGGGACACCAAGCTTGCTAATACACATATTTAGAGACTAATAAGGAAGAAGCCATAAGAGATATAAGAAAATTAAATCTTCATAAGCGTTGACACACTTCATTAATTTGCAACCTGAATAATGCGGCAAACATTGTATTAACTGTTCCCAAATTAGACAAATCAATCTCCATATCCATGGAATCTTCAACAGCCTGATCAAATTTATCAGAGAAAGCAACAGGTATTAGGCTGCAATAATTTGTCATTCTGATAGTGAATGAGCCAGAAGTAAATAAGAGGAAAGAAATATAATTCTAACAATAGAAATCACATCCTGCACATAATTAAGCTAATAAAGCAAGGGAAATAGAAGTAAGATTGTGTCAACAAAAACAAAATGCCACACAAGTTCTTATAATTTCAATTGGTGACCACTGCTTCTCAAGAAAATGTACATAACCCAAAAGTTAATAAATACATAAGCTCGTTGGGCAGATTTTATTACTTGCCAGGTATACCATGTAGGAGGGAATGGAAAGTGAAATGCAGAGAAATTGATCATGAAGTGCAGGAGGTGAACCAGGTGATAAACATGATGCAAAGAGCAAAAAATGAGATACCACATGCAGTAATTATAAACTATGGTAAAAAGTAATAGCTTTCTGATTTTGGAAACTAGATAGAGAAGATGAGAAAATTTGAAATACAAAAGTTGCTCAATTATGACGGAGGGGATAACTATAGTAATGGAGGATGGCTCTAAACTAATAAGGAGTCTCCTTTATGTGTCTGAATCAACCAATCCAATAAAAGCATAAGGATTGGACCCATTAAAATGTCACTATGAGACTTATCAATCACAAGACTGAGGCCAATGAAGTGGTGGAACTTGATTGTTCCCAGAAAAAAATTTTAAGAGTTTAATCACTCTTTAAAGCATCTTGAGCAGTCAAGGCAAATTCCCCAGAACATTCAAATGGGACTAATCTTAAGAAAAGACAAATGAAGTTAGCCCCATGGAATTAAAAAAATTCCAAAGAAGAAAAAGAAAGGCACTTCAAGATACAGATTGCATTGTTTCCTCACTTACAACACACACAGACAGAAATAACATAAAATCAAATCCATATAAAAATAACAATTAAAAAAGAAAGAAAGGCAACGGAAAGCACCTCAAACCCAGCACTGTCATATTGCCTTCTCTTCTCTGGGTCAGACAAAATGCTATAAGAATATGCAACCTCCTTAAAAAGCTCTGAAGCTTCAGGATTGCTACCATTCTTATCAGGATGATACCTTTCCAAATCACAAAAAGTCACAGAGCAAAAACAGATTACTGCTGGAGCTCATCAAAATGAACAAGCATTTGATTTCGAATGGAAAATAAATGCCTTTGTCATAATTTTCTTACTCTTTGAAGGTACATAGATTCAACATCATTTAAAATGCAGATAGTTACTTGAGTTCGTAACTTTGCATGTGGCTTCCATTAATCTTTAATTTATATATCCAATGCATGCAGAGATTGTACATAGAACACAAAGAACATTGAGATAACAAAACAAATTGAAACCACCCGTATCAAAAATTAAACACTGACCAATAGCCTTTTTGAGTTAAAATCGGACAACCTAACTTGAATGTAGAAATTCTTTAATAAAAAATATATTCTTTTCAAAAGGGATTCACATTGCCGACCCTCAAACTCACATCAATAGCTCTATTGCGCTAAAATTTAACAACTACCTAATCGGAGTGCCCAAATTCTACAATCAAGATTTTTTTTTTTTCCTAATGAAAAGATTTAGATCATAATCAGGAACTTCCCATTACTCTTCTAATGAAAAAGTTATGAAAACATTTCAAATTACTGACGAGTTTGAGTGATGAACGATTACAACTCACTTAAGAGCTAGCTTTCTGTATGCAGTCTTGATCTCCTGATCAGTGGAATCCTTCGACACGCACAACACTTCGTAAGGGTCTCGACGAATCGTTGGAGCCGAAGGACCTTCCATCTTCTTGGAACGCATCTCCTTCCTTTTTCTAAATCCCGAACCTCCCTTCCCGCTCTTGAAGGTCAATACTATGGCCGCAATCAGATGCAATCGCACCAAATCTGGACCTCTACCAGCAGATCGACGGGAACAAGACAGATCAAAATTTTAAGCCAAAAAATTTTCACACAATTCAACACGGTGTTGGAATTGGATAAGCGAAATAATGATTAAATATTCAAAAATGCAAAGAAAACAAAAGGAGAGCTCGGAGATCGAATTGTCATCCACAGAGAGAGCTCAGCTTACAGGAATACAGAAATAAAAGAAAATTGGAGAGCTAGGGCTTCAAATTTGAAATTTACGGAATGAGAAGGATTTTTTTTTTTTTTTTGTAAGTTAGTTTTTTTTCCTGTTGAGAAATTAGATTGGAAGAGGAGAGATGACGTCAGTGAATTGAAGTTTGGGGTTTATATTGTATTTTATTTTCTATTTATATAAATAATAATTAAATTTTTTTTTATTTATGTGAAGTTATTATTGAGTGCTTTTATTATATAAAAATTTTTTAACTATAATTTATATAATATATTAAATTTTTATCTAAAATTTATATTTAAAAAATAAAAAATAATTATAATATAAATATTCTGTGACAATTTTATTATTTTATAAGTTTTACTTTTTCTTGACAATTTTAGTTCAAATGAATTTTTATTAATATTTTTTAAATTTATTTTGAGAAATACAGTGATAGATACAAGTCTCTTTCTCATAAAGAAAAAAAAGAAGCAATTTTCCTTTCCCGGTTCACCTGTTTAATTTAATTCAACTTCTTTTACGTTTTGAAAAAAAAAAAAGTAGAATTTTTTTAATCAAAAGTGAAGGAATAATTAGAGTACCAATAAAACTAATTCATATTTACTCCCGTTGCAAACATTAAAAAGCCAACTAATAATTTGTTGGTGTGAGTGGAAAGAGGTCGGTTTTCTTTAAGTAAGATCTCAAGTTCAAATCTTGTGAATGGAAAAACAGATACTGGGAGAGTTTCCCCATATGGGGTCCGAC